TTTGACCGCGTCTTGAAGAACTTGAATCAAATCCTTTGTGTAGTTTTCAATTTCAGTTTGACTATTGAGGGGCCCACGGTTTACCCATTGCTTCACGCGTCAAGAAAACTCTTCTAAATCACAGACTTTCACGAGTACTAGTCTTGGAATCCCAGATAGCTCTAAAAATCCAGGTTCGTCGACTGAGCCTTTAATAGTAAAGTGGTCTGATGTACAGTCGAACCGGATTAAAACTGATACGAACGCCATCGTGTTACTCCAGGTTAGATCCAGCATATTCCCATCGCGATGAGTACTTTTTCCTAGGGTGTTTTATAGCTGCAGATTGTTTCTACGAGCGTACCCCATGATACGATCCCCATTTCTATATTGGCGCTCTGTTAAAGGCTGCCAGTACTGTGAGAAAGAGTTAAAGTCGCCCTCCACTACTACCGGACCACTCGGCTTCCAGCTTAGCAATGGTTCCAAAGTCCCGCTGTGGCCTGGAGCACGATAGAAATTTACAAATGTCAGTCTACCAGCCTGCACGAAACAGTAGTCTGAGGTCTGGCTTGTTGTCAAGGGTGTTATTTGAGTAGCCTGGGTTTCTTTTCTCACAAAAGTGATGGCGCGTGGTCGTAATCGTGGTACTATATTCCAAAAGGGTACAAAACTATCAAAGCCAGGGTGGCTTTTAGTAGAGAACTCTCCGTCTTTTAGCAAGGTCCATGGTTCTTATCAAACTATGGATAGTTTGATAGTTCTTGTACCATGACTATATGTCCTTCTGCATCCCAAGCTTATTGCGGCGCTATTTCCATGTTTGTCCGCCCTTTCCCAAATTCACTTGGTGAAAGAGAAGGGTGCTATATTTGTGTTTATGATGATGAGAATTGGGTGTATCACTCATTATCATGCATAATTTCTTGTGGTATATTAATGACCTCGCGAGCCTTACTTTTTTCTTCTGTTCTTAACAATGCTGCCTTGAAATCTTTATGTCCTCACTCTCGGATAACTCGCAGCTCGGCGGGTGATCGGGGGGTTACTTGTCCATGTTCCCGCCTTGGCCGGGCCATGCAGCTCAGGTGGGTTGACTCGTGCGGTCCAGCACAGTTTGAACATTTGGGAATTTTTGCGGTGCATTCTGTTACTTCATGAGTACCAGAACACTTTTCGCATCGCTATCCTTTGACGCAGTTCCTTGTTGAGTTATAACCCTAGCAACGTTGACATTGCTCGATGTGTCGTCGACGGGAGAACGGTATAGCTAGCCCACTCTCATCAAAAAGTCTAAATCGGAGGTTCAATGGCACTTGTTTGAAGTGCATCATCCGGCTAGCTAAATAGCTTCCTAATTTTTTGTCGTTTGGGCGCAACTGCATTGGTGTGACCCTACAAACTACCTAACATTCTGTCTTTACTATTTCTCTGGTTACTTCAATTCTTCCATCTTATGTGCGGATAAAATTTGGGACATGAGGTACCATGATAGATGTCCAGTCTGAAAAAGGCTCGATTGCTATTTCGTCGTTTTGAAGTGCAGGGCCTACACTCAGAATTGATTCCCTGAGCGCGTCTGATACGCACTCCATGGATAGGCTAGACCTGACTTGAGTCATTGATATGATTGCTGAAGGTGCAACTCCAGCTTTCTCAGTGATAATTTTCTTTACTGTGACAGGTGATAGTCTCCGCCACTGGTGTTCTCGCCTCTTGCGAAGGAAGAGTCTTTTATCTTATTTCGGGGGCTCTTGACCGGCTGGTTTTGCCTGCACTATGGGCCTTCGTTTTACTAGGTTAACCGGAGAGTCTGGGAGCTTGGCTGCTTTCCGGGCTATTGTCACCCACGGAGTCAAATTCTCCCATGGCTTTTTCGGAAGTTCGTTGAGTGTCTTCTCACCTATTTTTGTCGCCCTAGGCACAGAGGTTTTTAACTGAGTGCTTTCGGGGGAAGGGTTCTTTCCTGGGAAGTTCACGGCTTTGATTTTTCCTATCGCAAACGCTGTTACGATAGGAGAAATCTTTTCAATAAATGGTGCGAGTAAATGCGCACCAGCAGTCCCTGCCTTGGACTTTGCCCAAGCGTCGAAATTTTGGAGAAAGTCTTGAGCTAGGCTCATTCTCTCCTTACGTTCGCGTTCTGATTGATCCATAGCTGCAGCAATCCCAAGAAGGCTCGGGTGTAGTTCGTCGCCTGGGTCGGTAGACGCCGAGGACAACGGCTAGCTTAACGCAGCCATGGTGCTGCTTGATTTTACGGGTTATTAGAAACCGAGATAAGTGTACTGATGTGCGTGTATGGGATAGATCTGCGAAGATATAGATATTCGTTACACAGATTATACAGAAGTTGTCAGGAAATTCTTGTTACTCTTGGATTTGATGTGCACATTCGATTAGGGAGGACGCGGACGCCAAAAGGGCAATGTCATCAGCATAGCCAAAGCAACCGGTGAAAAGACGAAGTGCTTCTTCGATAGCCAGCAGAAATAGAATTGGAAATACTGGCGAGTCCTGTTGGAGGCCAAACCGGGTTTGATAAGTTGGATGGGAGGTATCTTCAACAGAGATAATGGATTCCCGCTCTTCCTTGAGAGATACTACCTATTGAATCACGTTCGATGGCCATACTTGGCTCCTTAGTCTATAACGGAGCCGACCTTATTGATTACAGTCAAATTCTTCCTAGAGACCAACTGTCATTATACCGGCTACTTTCTTTTCCAACCATTCTGTCTGGATATCACAGGCGAGAGCTGTGGTAAGTTCAACGGTGGAGCGAAGAGGGGTGGTACTGCATTGGTGAATGGCGATTACTCAGTATTTAAGAGCGATAAACGAAATTCTCCGTGCTATTAGTCGCTCAAGGTCTTTGTATAGGCATGAAAGTCGGGCGATCGGTCTGTCGGACATTTGGAGGGCGAGATCTCGGTTTCATGGGTGTGTTTGTTTACTGTACTACTTGAATCTATGACTATCTAGCACATTGGGCTCCTCTCTGATCCAGACCACACTTTGTATAGTACTCTTTGCCTCTCATATTTCTTAAAAGATCATTGATATATTGTCCGTGATGAGTAGCCATTCAGCCCAGTATTTACCCGTGGCATTCGGCCACATTTTCTATGGAACCTTCTACCAAAAAATGGTATCAATGGAAACTGCGTGCGCGAAAAAAAGTCTCAAAAGCCTGCAGCCCCAGCCAGGCGAGGCCTAGACACCGAGACCACATGAGGTGCACATATTCATTTATATCTCTCTTCTATAACATTAGAGCTCAACTTGATCCAATTCCACCATTGCCGCATCTGGTGCTGGGTACGCTCCGTAAACTCTTTGGATGGCTTTTCCTCCGTGATCAAGGGTTGGTGATAAGAAGGGCTTCGACCCTACCATATGATCTGATCGTGGTTAGCTTCATGATAAAGGTGACGGGGGAGTTGTGCTTAGGGTCGAAGACGATAAAGACCGCGAAAGCGATTGGGAATCCTCGTCGAAGTGAGGACTTTGTTACTCAATCTCGGCCCTACAGGGTCTACAGTGAGAGCTGGAGGTTGGTAGTGGGCACCACTGACAGGTGTTTGGAATAGTGCCCCTCAGTCTGGTTCCCATACCAAGGGCTGGATGGTGCAGTGGTACACCATCCGGGCCGTTCTCCCAAGTAGATACTGGGTAGCTTGAACACCTACCCCATTTGAGACAGGAGAAAGCTGGTTTGAATCCAGTAAAACCCACACACCACTCTCTCTCGCGGTTATATTGTAATTGTGGAACGATGATAGCACACTCGGAAAGCCACAGAGTTTTCACGCTTTTCCCTATGGTGGATATGCACGGAAGAGGCTATACATCGTAAGGGTTAACCTCGAGGGGTATCTGCAAGTGAAATCTGAGTGTGGGTGTTCTAAACGTCAAACTGAGTCATCCTACTTAAAGTAAATATCTTCCGATAAAGACCTGCATAGGCCTCATGGCGCCAAATCAGGATGATGAATAATTTATTTTTTTATGGCACAGGATGGGGCTAATCAGTGATAGACTCCATCCACGGGCATCTGTAAGCCCCTTTACCCCTCTAATTATCTCTTCATCGTACACTTCTAATTGGAAGCCGACGGGAAAGTAGCCGTATGAAAACTCGTGGGATATGCAATGCCGAACAGAGATTTAAACTCCACATCGATCCTCAACCAAAGCGCTGTCGGAGAAGCCAGAGGTTTTAAGTGGGCATTTGGGTAAATATAATAATTCATTTTGTTGTCCTGTCTGAGTCTATGACTATGTAGGACATGCAGGGGCATTTGGGTATACCAATGAATGACGGCGTCGACTGAAGCTACTTTGCTAACAGCGCCGATCTTTCCAATCAGGCTTCATACCTCACAACCAAAGGAGTGGAATGATAACCTCTGTCGATTCCACCGCATCGTTGAAAAATTTTGTCAGATGGAGAATTTGTCTGAAAGATAACGGAAAAACGTAACTCCAATTATGCAAGCATGATTCAATAATTTTTTCATCAAAGCCTGACTTTGTACTGAAGGTTTGTAGCGGATCTCGCCGAAGGGAACAAGTCTTCACCCCAACCAATGAAAGGAGCTTTAACTAAGTAGTTTGACACTTGAAAGCAAAAGTGGTGGGTGCGTGCAAGTGCTTGTACAAATTCAAAACTAGATCAGTGAAAATTGAAGCTGCAGTCACTATACTACCCCTCTCCTGCTTGTCCTGTGCAGTATCCTAATAAAAATCGATGGGTTCAATTCTACACTTGATCTGGTTTGTTTTTTATGAACTACAAGAATCCACAAAATGAATTCATTACAATTAAATAGCTTCGTATATCTATCAACCGCCTTTAACATCTCTGTTTTTTTCTGGTATCATGCCTTTCAGGAAGTTTGGTCATATTTAATCTAACCTCGAGACCTTGTTTAATCTATCGATAGCGCAATTTCTGATGGCCATTCGAAAAGCCTCGTCCGTTCCAGCCGGCGTTAGGATGGTAAGCAGATAATTACTCAGCAACTCAACTTTTCTAAGTCTGCTATCAATTGTTTCCAGTTATCTGCATGTAATTCGGAGTATTTCACTCGCTCTTGGGCCCAATCCTGATTCCATCGCTTAATCTGATGTTGTGACTTTGTAAAATTGATCAATTCATCGCGGATACATTCTCTGACAAATACACTTCTGTGATGTTGCGATACGATGGATTGCTTGTCCTGATAAAGTTAGAACATATCGCAAAGAATTGGCATTAGACTAACCGAGGTGATTGCTTTGGTTATCTTTCCTATCTCCAGGCGGTTCGCCTCTCCATCGGGTTTAGATCGAATTTCGGTCAACTTTTTATCGTTTTTTTGAACACGACGTTCTAGATATGGTATATTATCTTTGTCGTACATGTCTCGCCGATCGAATAGCTCTCGCATACTAACCAATGAATCTCGTTGTTTCTTCAAGTCCTCTACAACGCCCTGGTCCCAAGCCCTGGCCTCATCTATTAGTAAAATCTGACCGTCAGATAAGTGTTTGGCTGAGGCCCTAAGAGATTCGTTGATATTTAATATTCCACTTGTATCCGTAGCATAAGTGTCTGCGGAAGCATCACTTAAAGACCTAAGAGAGAGTGATATTCGTAGCTGGTCAGCAGCTAGACCTTCATTTCTTTTTGCAAGTCGATCCAAGAGTATACCTTTCTTGGTTAGAGCGAGCTATAAAGCTATACTAAAAGCTACTTACAGAGGTTGGTGTAGATGTCTGCTGACCTGCGGATACCGTTACGGGCTCGGTCAAATAATTCATTGAGGCCTTGAGGCAGTGAGTCTTCGAGTCCAGATGGAAGTTCTCTTCCGATAAATTCATCTTGAATAGATATAGATGCTTGCTTACGCCACACAGAAAGTTCCTATAGATCATTAGATACCGTCTACAACAGAACAGCAAGTCGATTAAGACAAAACTCATACCGTTGGAACAGTCAAAAACATAACTACTAGCTGTTCTTGACTAAGTATAGGATGGCTTGTCAAGGCATTTATAAACCGTGCTAGACCTCTTCGCCTCTTCTCGATAAATGTGTTATCAGCTGCAAGATGGTTTCCATTCACTCCAACTCTTTTAGGAGGGAGAAGAGGGAGTTGGCGGAATGGATATCGCTTTTGCAAGCAATCCAACAACCATACAAAGTCACTAAACCTCCTTACTACCTTCAGTCCTTTTCGAGAGCTAGATATCTGATAATTGCGGTGTTGAAACATGAAGATACCTTCTTTTTCAGGAAGGGTGTTTACAACTGCTTCTTCTTCAGTACGACTGCCAGTTTCATGACTGTCTTTAGATGGTTTGGTTGTGGAATCTTCGACAATGTTAAGCCTAGCACTAGCTATTTTTTGTCGGTCGGTGTTAGAATTTTGCCTGCTCATGTCACTTCTTGAGACAAGATTGCTTCCCGAAACCCACGCGCTGCTGCCAACTGAATTTGTGTCGTGGGACTGATTATTAAATTTTGCTGTTGATTCGCCAGAGAATGCTTGGTTTAAGAAGCTGTTCCCCACGTTCGTCTCAGTATCTTTTTTACTTTCTCTCGACGCCTCGCTAAGTTTAGAACAGTATTCGTTACCATGCGTAGCGGGTAAGCTCCGCCATGGGTCTGTGTCTGGCATGTCATCCATACTTTCCCTTCTTGATAGCGTAGGTGAGTCAGAATTAAAAGTATTAGGCTGTCCAAGTAGTCTCATTATTGAGTTGTCTATATCTTGAAATATCGGTGATCCGTTTGGCAAGCTCAGGATTTTTGGCACGGGTAAATCTAAATAACGTTATCACCGAGCCATTTTTAAGCTCTCGTATTTCTTACTTTGTATGTTCTGATTGACGTTGTTTAGTGAAATTTCTCTGCGTTCTTGAGCAAATCCTATAAGTGCTAGTAGTACATTGTACTCATTTCTATCAAGAGAAGTTGTTTGATTTCCGGCATACAAAACCTTCAAAATAAGCTGTTCAACTTCCTTGTCCAACATCGAGCATGCAAAGGTCTTCGCAATACCAGCAGCATTAATCTCCCCGTTAAAGCCGTCATCTTCTTGAGATATACTATCGAAGATGTCGACATAGCGACTGGGAATGGCAGACGACGGAATTAATCGTTTGACAAACTTGCTACTTGAGACTTGATCTGGAGAAATTGATCTTCTTTGCGAGCTCACAGACGAATCACCGTTCGTAATTATAGAGGACTTAGAAACTAGAGTATGGCTAGCGCCTTCATCGAATAACGAATTCCGTAATTTTGAGGTTCCAAACGATTCGTCTGGGGATGAACCAAATAAAGACATGAGGACAAGTTATGGTTTAATATGGCCGAACCAGACGCGCTAGGGCAGTTTGAATATGAGCTACATGAACATGAACAATGTAGTAAATTGATTTATGAATAAGTCAATATACGAAGTGTTGTCTGCAATGTATGTATTACCTAGTGCTCTCATCCTTGTCCCATGTGTCAGAGCTTTGGGTGCGCAGAAGACTTACACCTAATTCTGAATAATACTAAAGTCTACAATCAACAACTGCGGTGCATTTGGGAGCATTGCGAATAATTATTTGCCAGAACTTATTCAATATCTACAATGAATATCTTGCTAGCTCGTTGCGTGCAAAACCTACGTACATTTACAGCGAAATATGTTTGCTACCAAAGAGAATTTTCTCCTGCGATTGAAACTTTCACATTCTCCGATTTCATTGATTGTTTCTTATTGTTCTTCTTAGCTCCAGGTGTTTTAAAGAACAAGCTGGGCCCATGGCCTTCCGCGACTAAGTGACTCAGATAACCTCTTTTCGATGAGTCCCGATAGTATTCAAGATCTTTTCGGCTTGTAGGATCAGGCAGACGATACAGGTACTTGTTTGAAGACAGTGTAGCGTTGAGTGCTTGTTGGGTCGCAAGCGTTACCTCGATGGGTGTACTGCTCGATTCAGATTGTCCGTTCAACAACCTCCGGATAGAATGCTTTGTGTAATACCTAGTTACAACTGTACCTCCTGCTTGTTCAACCGCCTCGATTGCCGTGGCAGATGCCCTTGAGACTAATATTTTGATAGGTGTTTTAAGTTCCTCTTTTCCTCGGGCCAATAGCTTCACTCCATCTTTTATTCCATGAATACAACGTGATTGTACAAGTTCTTTGAGGGTGATGAGTTTGGAAGGGTCGATACGCCCTTGGTCTATCCAGGATTGTATGCGATCAAGGTTGACGCGAGACATTTCAGGCGAGAATCTATGAGATAGATTAGCTATTCAACATGATAATATATCATATTTGCGATAGGCATGGAGGGTTTTTACATATTGTTAAATCCTCGTTCGCCATGGACAACATCAAGCGCCGTTTGTCCACCCTGCATTTTCGCTGGGACTTTGCCATGAGCTTTCTGGCCCTTGTGTCCACGCCCGGAAGTTTTGCCTTTTCCCGAAGAGGGCCCTCGACCTCGTCGAATTCTTTTTTTATAAGACCCAGGATTGTCTGAGAGAGAGCCGAGAATCGAAGCTGATCTGGCCTGTACAAAGGAGAGGAGCGGCGTGGTCGGGCGTGAGAGCTTGCATGTTTTAAAAGGCAACGCGTTGAGTACCTTCAAGAAAGACGGTAGGGACGGGACCATTTTAGATGAGGCTGAAAACGTTGTTTTAAGTACTGATCTGAAGCATGGTCGGGCAGCCATTTTGTGCTCTTGTTAACCCCATATCGCTGCTGTCAGTTTTAGCGTGGTCTAAATTTAATAATGGACGGGGGAACGAGTAAGGCACTGGAAATCAGATGCATTTTCACCTAGATTTCACATCATAAAATCTGACTGGATTGTCGGGAATGTGGTATATCCTATCAACATCTCTGATATTAGAATTATACCTGAATAAATTATGTTTGATTAGTAGTCTCAATTTTTCTTTCCTCAATATTGCAGTTCTGCTGTATAAACTCGGGTCAAAAGTTGAGGGCCCACTTAGAAGCAATCTTGATACCAGAATGGCACAGCCAAGAATCGTTGCACGAAACAATAAATCAATCATATAATTGATGGGTGAAGTAGAGGTACCTCCCTTGTCAGACACAGCAGTTGCCATCTTCACAAACTTCGAAAATTTTCTCACATGCCTTTTGGAATTGCAAAAGTTCAAAACTATTCGTTCTTGATTTCTCATTTTGCTTCTATTCTAGTTGTGAATCTTGATGACCAGTCTTGATTATTACAGTCGTAGGCTGCGACTGTTGCTGGGCACCATTGGCTTGACACTACTATTTCTAAATTTCTACATACTATCACACGCGAATGTCAGATCTAAACTAAGAAAAATATCTGTTAAGGTATCAGGGATTGGTCCGCTCGTTCAAGACTCGCAGCTAAGTCCCGATGCAAGTGGACAGTCTTACTTAGGTTATCAAACTGACTAATTAGCCTCTTGAGGACTTTAAAGGTTATACGGGAGTTAATGATCGTCACCCCATCGCTCACTTAATGCAGGAAGCAGATGCTGCTTGGCAAAGTTATGTTAAAAGTCGGTCTAGAACTTTCAAAGAGGCTGTCATCAAATACCGGGAAATTCATGGACGGCATCCACCTCCAGGGTTTGAGGAATGGTATCGCTTTGCGGTAAAGCGTGGAACATATCATATTGATGACTTTAAGCAAGTAATGGACGATCTACGACCCTTTTGGGCTATCGAGCCTTATGTGATCAGATCTCAAGCAGCACATCTACACGAAAATCCCGACCATGGAATTTCAGGCCTCCATATCCGCAATCAGAGAATTTGGAAGTTGACCAACTCAGACTGGCGCATGGAAACTTTCTCTGAGATGGTCAACCAATTTGTGAAGTTCTTGCCTGACATGGATGTGGCAATGAATCGTCTTGATCAGCCTCGAATCATTGTTCCCTGGAATAATATGCAGGATTTCCTTGCAAAAGAGAAAAAGAGTAGAAAGATCTTCCCAAACTCAAGGAATGAATGGACAAAACACATGGATGGTTATCTACAAGAAGCCAACAATTCCGAGATTATTCATCCCGATTTCTTTGCGGCACACGGCAAGCAGTACATGGACCTTGCTCGTGAAGCATGTCCACCTGAATCCCCTGCCAGGAATGATTCAATGTCTGCAGAAGATGTCGATGCAATGTTCAGGACGGCCCAAGGTGGATTCATTACCAACTTTAACCTGTCTTCGGATCTCTGCACAGTAGGCCCGGCATTGTCCAAAAAGCATGGATTCCTCTTTGCTCCAAGTACGATTTGGGCCACTCGAAAGTTACTTCCTATCTTCGGAGAATCAAAAGTTAACACAAATTCTGACATATTATTCCCTGCAAACATGTACTACAGAAATGATGTGCGCTACACGTATGATTCCCAGTATGATTTTAATTGGGATTACAAGAATGACAGTTTAATCTGGAGGGGCGTGACTTCGGGTGGAGCAGGAACTGCCGATAATTGGAGAGAGATGCATCGACAACGGCTAGTTTTGATAACCAATGCAACAGTTATGGCTGATAAAGAAGTAAAAATCATGAAATCTGATGGGTTTGGGGATAATAGCACCTTCCTTGACTGGTCTTATTCTAATGCAAGTGGCTGGATCAAGGAACACACAAACGTTGGCTTTACCGGTTCGATTGCATGCGTTCCGAACTGCGAATTTTACGAGGATTTTTTGTCTTACAAACCTACAATGACCCTAAGTCAGCAGTTTGTTTCCAAATATTTGGTAGATGTAGATGGACACTCCTTTTCGGGGAGATGGCGTGCCTTTCTTCAGAGCAAGAGTCTCGGCATTAAAAGTACTATTTTTAGGGAGTGGCACGATTCACGACTATTTGCTTGGAGGCATTTTGTACCTCTTGATGGCCGATATAGTGAGCTATACAGACTGCTGACGTATTTTATTGGCCTAGGATCTCCTAGCGCTGCCAAGCGCGGCGCGCCATACGTTCAAAGACATGATTACGAAGGTCGAAAAATGGGACAGCAAGGTAGAGATTGGGCGCAGACCGTCCTTCGGCGGGAGGATATGGAAGTAGGAGCCCTACATTATCTGGGGTTATTGAAGCTGACTTTTCATAGGTTTACATGTTTCGATTGCTTATTGAAGTACGTGAGAGTGGACAACCTGTCACAATCTTGGGATGTTATATCCACTAACATTTTCACAAGTATGCGAGGATAATCGATGACAATCGAGATGTCATAGGATATTCGGGAGATGGCAGCGAATTGGCCAACTTCGATGCAAAGCATCAGTTTAAGAGGGCGATTAATAACATCGGAGAATGAATACTTGAAAAGGACTTTTCAAGATATGGCATTAGAATTAAGGTAGCGCATAGAAGTACACATAGATATGAAGTTTGTAGAAAACAAACTACATTGCTAATAGGAGATGGACATGACGCAGTTTCTGTAGCTTCAACTTTTCAGAGCATCTCTGGAATTTGTAGCAGCCATGATGGAATTTCTTTAGCCAACTACCTGCAGCGAGAGACTGGCAAGTTATACATATCTTACGATGACAGAGCTTAGCACGTCGTTTTATCAAGGGGCTGCGGTAGGGGGGAGTAAACAGGGAACCCAAGTTTTTGCCGCGTGGGTGGTCTGCAATGTGAAAATCAGAGCAAGGCCTGCTGGCGGATCGGTAAGGCATAGAAGGCCGCTTATCGGGGATCAGGGAAGGGTGTGCAGTGAAAACGCACTGCACGTCCACCGCGACAGCCCTGGGTTAAGGCAAGAGCAGAAATCGCCAATAACGTAGTCTATCATCTGGTACGACCTCCATAAATCTTACAGGTGCCGATGTCGTCATGGGGCTCAGGCAGAGGTGGGGAAGGGCTTAGAAGATCTCGGCGTCCGACATCGCCCGGTAAGAGGGGGCAGAAGCAATTTTCGATCTTTCGCGAGCAGCAGAAAAAAAGGAATGCGAAGAATGTCCGCGCCAGAGAACAAATCGCCAATGGAGTAGCCACAAGAGGCGGGGAGAATCCAAGAAGTCCGCATTTATTCGATCGACGGCCGACCTCGGCAAGATCCAACACAAAGTTGTTGCTCTGGAGGGCGCGAGTGGGTCAACCGTGACCCCGTTTCATGTCATCCGCTGCCAAAGTGATGCACACATCGCCTGCATACTGGTGAATTAGATCACGTAGATTATTGGTCAATAAGCTGCTCTGCATCTAAATTCTATATGACCATGCTGATCCGGGAATCCGGCGAACGAATCACCTTCCACTCTGTGAGAGGAACATACGGGTTTGGTTTTGACCAGATATTGCACAGGGCACATTCATAGCAAGAGAGGTGCTAGTTGTAGGTAGATATTTATCCTTCATGTCTCGAGTAAAAGTATTTTTAGCACATCACCACATAGATGGTTTCTCTAAGCGTTGTGTCAGGTTCTACCCACAAGGCACATCGAACTTCATGAATAGCTTGATTGTTATCTGAGAATTTAGCCTAATTACATTAAAAATTCAATGCGTGACGAGAGGATTAATGGAAGGGTCGAAGTTCCATGTAGATGTGGACGTGGACGTGGTGATTTAACAGTGCCAGATACATAAAGCATTGCGTGTACGATAGCTGTCGCATTGTTGTGTGACGAACGATCCCTCATCAGCCTAGTGTTAAAAAAAAAGAGAGTTTGGTTGAGGTATGTTCTTGTCGGTCCAACACGAGTGTACGAGACTTCGCAGCTCAAAGACACCGATCTCGAATTCTGGGAGCAAGGTCATCGCAGCCATTTCATACCTGCATACCAAGGTTGAATAAGAGGAATTCTTGAGTCACCGACTCGATCGGGTCTAGCAGGGTGTGTTATAGAATGGAAGACACTAATAATGTACATCAAGGGTTCGGGAGGTTTAATTTAGCGATGCCAGGGCTAGCACGGGTATCGCTAAACCAAACCTCTTCTTGTGTTGGAAGGCTGATGGGGCACTTCAATGGCCCTGTATTGCAAGGGTCTATATGCAGAACGTTACCCTAAAACTAATTAGAGGACCATTATTGCCTTGCACATTCGTGTTACAGCCTTGGTACGAAGAAGGTTGGCCTATCAGGCTTCATCACGTTCTATATGTACTAATCTGACACCCGCCTCGTCAGACCGACGTCACAGCGACCCGAGATGGCTTCTGAAATGAACCAATGAGTAGAGAGAGACGAGGCTTGTAGTAATCATCCGGCGCTTGTTAACCTGAACAATGAATCGGAAATTACTGTATGATTATGCTTCATCAAAAGAAACTATGGGTTACTGTGTGAGGGCCGTGTTTAGGCTTTTAAGAATCGTTCCACCTAAACTTCTGCCAGTACTTCATGTACGCAAGTGACTAGTCACTTGCACAACATGTAATAATACCTACGAAAATTTCTAGGGGAATGGGTAAGGTTTCGCGCCAGGTGTCTTGCACACGTGGTATAAGCTTCGAAAAAACGTTATATTAGCGAACAACTTCGATCAACGCCAATGAAAGACGCTTCAGTCTCATTCTCTTTGCTACCGGAAGGTGATAAATCTTTGCAGGTGATTTGGTCACTTTTTAAATTCAGGTCGAGAATTGAAGGTTTATCGTCGGCTCCTCTGTCTTCCCACAGGCCCTAGAGAGAATTGGTATTACTTTTCCATTCCTTTGTGGTTTTTTGCCTTTGTCTTGTATTCCACCCGAGTTTATCACTTATCCTGCCGATCCACTCCTCGCTCCCTCGTCTAGGATGCATAACACTTGCAAAGGGATACCTACTAGCTGAGATTGTTATGTAGTCTCCCGGTCTCAATTCAACCCTTTCTCTCCCGTCAAAACTAGCCCAGGAACTGGAACGAGAGTCATACGGCACACCGACCCGTAATACCATAGTATCTGGTAGTATGATAGGCCGAAATGATAAAGTGTGAGCGCATATAGCTGTAACCAAGATAACAGGGTTGTCGGGATGACAAAGTGAGCCCCCAGCCGCGAGGTTGTAAGCAGTCGATCCAGTAGGGGTTGCCACACAAATACCATCGGCTGCTACAGTGGTCATATGCTCGTTTTCAGAGAAAAGTTCGATTGAAGACATTGCTACATAATTGTCAGCACTATCTCGAGGAGAAACCTCGGGCATTGATTTTGCCTAGATAATTAAATTTTCGTAGTTTCCTCTTGCAGTTGTGGTAACAAATAATAATTTCAAGGTAAAACCTACTTGGATTTGGTCCTCGGTCGACAACAATATCATTTAATATTTCATAAGTGCCATCTGGGTAGTGGGTTCTTTCATCCTCTTTTTCTTCCTTTACCAATTCCTCTACTAAATCTCGGATGTCTATCTCATCTCCCACTTGGTCAGCGCCGTCTTTTTCTTTCGTGATACCGGGTATGGGCTCTCTCTCTTGACTTCTCATGACGGTTCCCTCAAAACGTAACCTTAAACTAATCGTAACTCCCTCGTTAAACACTTCAGTGAGAGTATTTTGATAATTTTCATAATCAAACTTGGTTAAAAATCCCAAACTTCCAAGAGCAAAACTCAAAACGGGCGGCACAACTCGTTGAAAGAGCCAGCTCGCATGTAAGACAGTACCATCTCCTCCTAGAGTGATCACGAAATCAAAACTCTGAGGTCTCAACCTACAAAGATCGTTATTCCAATACTTTAGTCTTTCTTCTACACTCCTATGATTTCCATCGGAATTTTGCTCACAGCTAGCTCGCACATCTGCTATTAGTCCTTCTGAGTCGAACTTTTTGCTGTATTTTAGGTTCTCTTCTACCCATATAGTGTATGGAACCTCCCTCTCATGACTCAATAACCATTTTGTTATATTTCTTGCATTCTCAATCAATGCCTCGTCATGAGCTTTAATCAACAAGAAAACACTTTTGACTTTTAATTTCAAGCGAATGCTCCCCAGCCTTTTTGAAAGTTCGCGCACTCCCCAGGCCATCTCCGATAACTGCTCTTTGCTCAATAGTCTACTATGCAAAGCATGCTGTTCCCGACTATTTAAAACTGTCTGCTCCGATTTCGTTGAACATAAACTACTATTAGCATTATCATATTTACTCATAGATAGCTCTTTGAAATTACTTTCATTATTGCCTTGACCGTGCCAATTTTCAGTCTTTTCTTTGTCGACTCGATTCTGCTGGCTAACTTTGCATCTTTCGTCGAAGATATGCGGGGGCTCGGGGTGGAAATTTGTGAGCGATTTAGCGAGGCCCTTGATACTGCTGGTGCTGCTGTTGGAATTACGGCGATAACTCTCGAGGAGTGCGTGAATATGACATTCAGTGTTTTGTTTCCGAGACGACATCATTTCAATGAGATCTGTAGAAACAAGCGATGATCTCCGTCGATGTGCATTCTTCTCATCGAAGATAACCTCGGCATCTGATCAGCCAATCTATCAGAACATACTCAACGCGATCACAATATACCTCCAGTGCATGTTGGTACTCGGAATCACCCATCTGAAACAGTCAAATGAAGCTATGTATGTTGGGTGATGAATTTACAAACTTTATCGTGTTTTTCAGAAGACATGCCTTCGTCAAGACCTCCGGGCGATTCGTCTAGATTCAGCATTTTACTGGAAAACTTCGCTGCTGACAGCAATTGTTCGAGGCAAATCTGGGCTTTGGAGGCGAAGTAAGATAGAATATCTGCTCATGTTTGGTAATAATGCATTTTTAGGGCTCACTCTACAGAGTAGTCAAGTGCGCTTGCATATAGCGTGACGTAGAATCTCAACGAATAATTTCCGTAGTTCGCATCTAAATAACATTTACAGCTAGGTCAAATGGTGTCGTGGTCATATGCCACAGTGAACCTTAGAAATCGCGTATCTAGAACCACGGAGGATCAGTCGACGAGCAATAATCAATAACATGAATTTTAGTCAGTTTAATATTGGCATGGTGAACCAAGCGTTTTGTCATGATATTTATTGATATCCGGTGTCCCTGTACTGCTATGTATGAGCTCTCTGTCTACAGGTCAAGGATATCTAACATTAGACGGATTTTTTCGTCCTGTTCAACCCTGTAGGATTTAATCATCACTTCACAGTGATATTTTCTAAAGGGATCAAGATTATGTGGGTAGGGATAAAATCAAGAGAATTCATTTAATATGAACTCAAAGTATTAACGATTATGTAGCTGTATAGATGAACGTACAAAATTTGTCTTTAAAAATCATTCGAAATCAGCTTATAAAGAAGCTAGCAATAAGGACGAGCTGCTTCTCTCAGGCCAATGTTCTAGATAGCCAAGGACTCAAGTAGTGTAATAAACACAGATTCACATACATCCCTCAGTCCGTAGACGCAAAGAGTAAAACAATGGTTAGAATGTTTCAACTTGATTAACTACGGTTTCGTTAAACAAATTCATTACTGTTCAATTAATTTAAAAATTTTCCTTAAATACTTGACAGAACTTACTCATAATTGCTTTACCGTGTGCCTTGCATTAATTGGAATTGCAATACATTGATTTGTCTCTAAATTTCCAAAATAACTACCAATTGCGATACGTAAATCACCTTTAACATTAGTGGAATCTACATCATCTTAAAAATAAGTGTCAATTCCCAGAAGGTCCTGGCTGGCCACAGGCTGAATGAAATTGAAGTGTTGGAAATATTGCACTATTAGTTATGAAATAAAGTAGTCGCCGACATTTGCAGAATGAACAATGAGATCCTTGGTATAGTGTTTATTTATTTATTTTTAAAGGTCTACCGGGCTTCAACTATGGCTAGGGCCCCATCCCTTGGGGGACATGGTAACAAATCTTGGTATAGTATTCGGCCTAGAACGGTCTTTTACTAGATACTATGACACATGATAACCCTACTTGTTGATAGCGGATGATCGTTTTACTTGTCTTGATCCGCCCGACCACTTAGACGAGGCAGTTTTGTGTAAAAATAATGCAGGCAAGGTGGAGTAGCATAAACTTTCTAAAATATCCCTATGATGCATCGACACGGTGTAGAGAGGAATGTAAGACCTTAAAGTCAGAACCATCCGAAGTGGTACCGGCGACTGCGATCTAGGTAATTCCTTGGAAAGTTGTCTAAACACATCTTCACTGTCAAAAAAATAAACTAGGAGTAGTTCTCTTGTGTCATGTCGGTCGGAATCCAAGGGGCAACAGACTTTGCGTAGCCTAGCATGAATGGCTAAATATGTAGATTTGACTAGGTCACATCTATCGTTGAACATCCAACATGATGGCAACCTGCAACTTTGTGAGCCATATCTTGCCCACACATGAACAAGGGATGATACTTTTCTTCTCGTAATATTTCGATGATTGTTGCTTTAAATTTTGGAACTTACAATTGACGTGATGCGCGTCTCGAATTAATCAAAGTGTGCGCGAGATATCACCTTGGACAAAACGCATGAGATCAACTAATGCTCGCATTGATTCCGTCAAAGTTGAAGGTCCTATCCTGGGTACAGCGCAGCTTGGTCGCAATGTGACAGTTCGTTCTTTCCCCCGCTGGTGATGGATAGGCGTTTAGGCCGTGTAATAAATGGTATTTTCCAAGGCCACGACTCGTGGTGATCATCGGCCTTATGTAATCCGCTTCTGAATGTTTATTCATTTTGCCATACTGACACTCAAGGCTTGGGTGGAAGTACATGGGTCTTTTAGTTGCGGAAATGCTACTAATACCTTGCTCCTTGCTAGACAAACGCACTTTGGGGGTGTTTTGGGATCTTGAAGGTGAGACTGCAGCTTGATCAGTCGTTGGGCGCCTTTCTCGGTCCAAGCGTGGGGCACCCCAAAGACAATGCATAGTTCATAGAAGTATGAGTTGTCAGCTCTGTGGGCTGTAAATCAAGTCCATCTGTGTAGCTGCGAAGATTAATTGTTGATTTCAAGAAGCTAAAAATCTGCTTCCAGCCGTTCGACAACCGAAACGTCGGATCCATGGAGCTAATTTCATTTCTGACAAGATCGTCATGCTTTGTCTTGTGTTTGTGAAATAAGGTCATAATCATCTGCGATCGACAAGGACCAATGGAAAACCTTCCGGATATTATCCAGACCGCAACTTTCAAAATCAACGTCTTCTGGAACGCATTAGCTCCTCGTCGCTTAACACCCCTGTAATTTTTGACTGCTCAGTTAATCAATATGCAGGCTTGTTACTATTCCAGCCCGATAGGCGAAGGTTCGATGGCCCAGAATGCAAAGTATTGTCCGAGTATCACGTAGTGGAGCAGCTCCATCAAGGCCAGGTAAACTGTAGATTATATTGACTCAGTCTAACTATCCCTCGCGACGAATCGAGCAAGATCACTAGGTAGACCTTTCATTTCGCAGCGACCTCTGTTCAAAAGTAGATGGAAGGTAAGGTAGTATCGAGGATCGTGAACCTATGCAGTACTTGATTCCTTCTGGTGCGTGGATCAAGCTCCAATTTGTCTAAGTGGTAGACATGGACAAGGATTAGAGGGCTGATGTATTCGGATCTTCCGCACGTCTTGACCAAATATACCGTTCGCACGGAGACACTAATTTCTTTACCTCGCCCAGTACAACATCTTAGTTGGAGGGAAACTTGTCGTGCGTTCAAGTGGAACTCATCTGTCAAAGGGCAAGGATGTTAAGTTACGAGATGATGATAATGCTGATTAATATCGATAAGGTGGAGAAGAGATTATCTTTCGCTGTAGGGGCTGTTTAGTGGGGGGTTAACCAGGCGCTATGGAAAAGAATCTCGTCATCCTCTCTCCTTTCGCGTCACGTGTATCCCAAGAAAAGCGTTACTAGTAGGACTGTTTCCTGAGCACGTCATTGCGATGGGTGGGAGTCCGATTGAGCGGACAGTTTCGAAGCAGCTGACTAGATACCACACCCAAGGTCATTGAAATCCGAATCTCCGGCTTCATGGTTTGCAATAGATCAAATTGAGGCGAGCGCCCATTGTGATGCACGATTTTTTCGAGACAAGGATTCACGGGAACATGATAAGGATAGAATGCAGGGCCCAGCACGCCCTCTTAATGAAGACAAAGAAGACCGGTGTGTGCTAGCTTGCGACAAAGGAGCCGAGAGTGCAGAGTTATTGGCGCCTGCTGACCACGGCGGCGTAGCCAAGTAGCATTGACCGCTTACCGTGCATTAGAATTCTCGACAAATGTGGGGGTTTGGGAGCGTTTTCCTAGATCATCACGACACTGATGTGCTGTCTGATGTGGGACTCGGGAACCGCCTATGCTCAACGATACCAAAAGTTTGCCGTCAACGCCATCAGTGCCATTGAATACCTGACTGACCAATGGGACTGTTAGCTTGTATATGGAGGAAGCGTTGCGCTGGATAGTGGATCTAAGCAAGGAGTACTTCAAGGTTGCGCTCGCTCGTTTGAAGGAGGCGTTCGACGGCCTCTCCCAGAGGTTCTTGCGGTCCCCTTGGCTCTCGAAAGTCAAGGGCTCAGCCAATTAATACATGGAATCTTAAATGAGAAATTATCATGGATCACCTGGACCAGACTACTCAGCTCGGATGGGGCCGGACTTGAAAGGAATGCCCTGGTCATGCTTATCCTCCCGCTGCAGTCACTGCACTGGGTATACACGAGTCCGGACCTGGAGCCTCAATATGTGTCATAGCATTCCCACTCCTGGCATGCTTAGCTCACTATTCTTCCGAGGATTCCCCTAAGCCTGTAGACCCTACCAACGCTTAATGGTGGAGACTCAGCCTGCCTCGATCAAACGGGTCCGTGGGGCTCGACCGAAATGGATGCGGGGGTAAGGGAAAGATTGTGAGATGAAAAGACGACGACGACAATCCTCCCTGAAGTCTCGATAGCCAAAGCTTCCGACCCGTGCCGTGATTTTTTGATTTGACCCACGAGCGTAATGAGCGCATGTTTAGACTCCTGTTTAGCACTGCCTCGTCCTGCAGAACTGATGTGAGCGATTATTGCCTCGAGGTGAACATTTGGACCCGGCATACGCCAGAAGATGAGGTGCGAGGCTTTGCGAAACTATGACATGACGAAGCGGCGACGGGCTTAGTTTCATCTATGCCGTCGGGCATTCACAATCGTACGTCGCCATTACCGCCTGGCTCGGCAATCCGATGAGCGGTGGAGTGAGAAGATGCCGGGAAAATACATGAGAGAGGGTAAGGAGGATTTGTAAGAGGTGCGAGCTCTTTTCGCAGGGTCAAGGGAAAGGGCTGAGGCCGAACAAGGCCCCGGTAGAAAGTATCGTACGGATAAATATACATATACAGACCGTGAGAAGAAAGACGGGGAGGGATGTCTGGGACCAAGTTCCCGTCAAACGTTTAATTATTGCATTAAGAACCCCTATCCTTACCAAATAGCAAACTAAGAGGTTAGCACATTAAAGGCGCAGGCGATCTGCCGGAAATATCAAGTGCAACTAAAGAAACAGGGCTAGGTCGAGAAAGTCAAATTCAGAGTGCATTTGAGGCGAAGAGGGCGTGCATCATCTCGCAGCGAGCTCCCGAGGCCTCATCAGGCTGGCGCCCCAAAATTTGACTCTCTGTTCTCTGCGAATGCTGCAACCAATGCGGCATGCGTGACATTATGTTTAACATCGTGCTAGATGCAGTGGCGGCTGGGCATCACGGCATCTTGTCCTTCTAACCCTAAGCCGCGTGACACAACAGAGGCTCATGGTGATAGAGGCCGGTCACTTCGTAGCAGATGAAAAGGCGAGGATGCCAACAAGATAAAAATAAACGCGAGACTCGGTAATACGTGCGCGGCGTCTCGATCTAGTTGCTGTCACATCCCCTCGGAAGCGAGACAAACACGCGCCCATACGACTAGATATGTTTAGTCGGTCGGAAGTCAGGACGCAGGCGTTAAATGGCATGGCTGGTTATCATACTCGAGAGTTCCTGGAAGCCTAGGCTTCGAGCGTAACAAGTACTGTTAGTCAATTTCCCCTCCTGTCGCCCCTTATCAGGCTTTGGAGAGAGTATCAGGGTGATTCGGGAAGACGCCCTTGACCCTAATTACCCTTGGGCAGAGGAGGATCTTTTAGCACGCATGGGCACATGGAGATTTGGGTCTCGAGCCACTGGCATGGACATGAGCATCGGGAACCGAAGCTTGCGAAAACACCAGGTTGAGTGGGTGCAAGTGGTGGAGTGAAATGCCTAAAGTATTTGGTAGTCAAGCGGATCTCTCGGCCTGTAAGTTGGAGGGCTCTTCTCCATATGTTGGAGACAACTTTGTCAACCCATCTCGACCATACGTACTCTTAGGCGTCATGGGAGCGAAGCACGGAGCAGTCGCAACTTTACGATGACTGGGGCCATATTTGAACATGTCGATAAGGAATAAGGGTTATAGCCTGACCTTGGCTGCCCCTCCTCCTTGACGGTTTGAGCAGGCGAATAATTCCACCGGCATCGGCGGCCCTCTTCTCCTGGCAGGAATTATGTGACAGGGCAAACAAAGAGACATACGTCCTAGCGTTGGGCTGTGCGTGTCGCGAAAGCCTCAAGCGCTTCGAGTCCCACCCGTGGATCATGGTCGAGATGCAACTAGAGATGCACGGAGCTTTTTTTCTCGGTATTGTCCAGAGTTCATGGAAGGCGATTAGGACGGGTCTACCGAAGCACCAGGCGGTCAAGGTTGCTTGATGCACATAGCACGGCGCTCAAGAAAATCAGATCGGGGCTGGTAGCAGAAGACTCATCGTTCTTTAGTGGCGCATTTGCTGGCGATGGCCGGCCCGGGACACGAGAAGAAAGAGCGATTGAGCGAATGTGCGTAAGATCAAAAGGGTAAGGCCAACTAGGGGACATATCATCTCGGTGGCAGGTTCAACTGCGACTTACGACTCGATTTCCAGGCAATTTGCTTATGCCCACCAGTCAATCGTTCTGTGCAGACACCGCGAATCATGCCGGTCATGCCCTGTGGGCGGTTCAGTCCATCCATCGCCCACCAGTCGCTTGTTTCTTCTCCGTCTTTTCCACCTCTCACACCAGCGCCAGCACCACAACCTGCACCTGCCCCACCCCGCCAGCCACCAGCATAGGCAGGGCCCTTAACCGGATTGGCATTCGCGCGTGTCTGATTTTGCGGGTAGGCTGCTGGGACCGCTGCAGGCTGGGGTAGGGGGAGCTCGATCACTTCACTCCTCTGGAACAGGTCATTTCACCCCGGCCGCTCAAAATCGACGATACCCATGTTGTGAGGAAGAAGCAGAAACCCAGACGCTAAATTCCATATTCGAACCCTCGCTCGTCGAATACCCTCGCATGCCAAATGACACAGGCTAACCATCGGAACCTCACTCCAAAGGTAATCCTCACCCACGTTTGTACACATGGAGGTACTTCCCCCTAGCCTAACCCCTCTCACCCCATCATGCCATCATCCGTCAAACAAATCCCCCCGTCGCGCATTGCGAATATGATATAGGTCGCTCTTCCACCCATATATATCGTAGTCCTCCCACACATACTATGATAGCGTATACCACACTAATCTCAGTATCTCTCAATCTCTATATTGCTTCACGATGAACATCGATGGCTGGTCATCCGTTCCTCAAGCCTACTCCACTGTTGACCGCCTTTTGGACGACGTCTTTATGCACATGGCAACTTGCGACTTCTCTACCTATCCTCCAGAAAAATCACAGGCTCCAAAGGCCATGGTGGATACACTTGTTGAAAAGTCTAGCCCCGCGAAAAATAAGCGAGCGAGTGTTGGGCGCAGAAAGACTCTCTTGGACGATGGAGTATATCGCCGAAGGCTTACGGATCAGAATGCAGTAAAACCTGGTCTCTCGAAGATGAGCCATTCTCAAAAAAATCAACGTCCCGTAAGCTGGCATTCAACTCCGCTTGTTACTCAACAATTGCAAGATTCGCCCACCTTTACAGGTTCAAGCTGTGACGGTAGCACTCCCTACTCATATTCGCATAACATGCCTACCGCTACATCATTCAGTCAAACACCACCACACATCTACGACACATGTTCTACTATGTCCAACATCAAATACCAGACGTCTACCTATCCATATCAGGACGCCGCTCCTTTTTTCCCTTTTACTCCGGTATATCCACATAGTCAGCCGTACGAGGTCATACAGCAGCCTGGTAGTTGCGATTCATGCCTACCCCTCACGACAGATGCACTTCATCCTTTTCAGATCAACTGGGCAAATTTCCCCTTTCAAAATATGGATCACCTCGTGACAACGCCTCCTACTCCTCATGACCTGAATCCACATCAACAAGTGTTTCCCTTTCCACAAGAGGATATACTCTCGCCCAACCAGCACACCCTATCGGACGAGGATAATGGCGGTGAAGAGCTTATCGGGATGGGACTCTACGACAACCCAGAACCATGTAAAACTGTGTCCTCAGATCTATCTTTTGATGATTATCAATCGTGTTTCATGTCACACTTTACTGGAAACAGACGTGGCCAATTTCTATGTTCACCCGGAAAAGGTCTCAAGCTTGAGGAAACTTGGAGCCCACCTTCTGACAATGATGAGGATGATATCGGAGATACGAGCGATGAGGGACAGGATGACGATGTTATCAGTGATGCTGGTCAGGATGATGAGGAAATGGTTGCCGTGGCTGTAAACGGTGTGCTATCCCCAGCAATGTCTCAGGCCGGGCGGTCATATTTTTCCCCTCAGGGCTGGACATAGGTGTATGTATTGCTTACTAGCAGCACATGAATTTTAGCGATGGCGTTAAGTATTCTAATTGATTGGTGGCAAAAGGAGGTTGACATTGAAAGTACCACAAAGATCAGTTAGGCGGTAAATTACTGCTATTGAACCAGGCACCATTGTATTGCCATTTTCTAATCTCATTATGCCTGTCTCCCTAAGATATTTCTGTGCCCCGGTTAAAGTGCACCCGGTCTCGTAACCAACCTGCATTACGTATGTTTGATTTGTCGAGCCAAATGCATATCCTTTGAACACCATTTATTTTCTCGACCCTTGATCCCTTCCGGCCTCGTACATGGACCCGTGTGCGCATCTTTGTTGGCCTTGGCCCTTAATATACCACGCCGTGCAGGTGACCAGCGCACAGACGGCGTAGCGCAACGCGTCCCATGGTTACGTCTCACACGCTATGATGCACTCACTTGAAAACTTTGGCTTCGCATCCATCCCCTTACGTACGCGTCGGTATCTAGTCTCAAAGTGCCCCGCCTGACGTAAGCGAGAATTTCGGCATGGCAGCCAACGCTTCTTCCGCATCCTTCGTGCTCACCACCTTCTCGAGGGTTGAAGGACATGATCCAGAAGGTGAGTGATGGTGCTCCCATCCCCCTTGCCTCAATCATGGCCTGGTCTCGGGCCGTTTGGATGCCCAAGGAAATGGCGCCGTGGCGTCTATACTCTGTCTTTTCGAAGAAAGCGCGAGTCAGTAGTTTCCAAACGCCGCCCGCGGATAGCGACGTGGCTCCGGCGTGAGCCGTCCTGTGCCCATCCGCGCTCATCGGTGCTGCACGACGCGTGTGCGATGAGACCCCGGTCATCAAACGCGACGGCACGGGCTTAGCAAACTTTAAGGCCGAGGCGGGCAGCGCTCACTCAGTGGCCCGAGTACTGGCTGTGCCGGTCACTGCTCAAATCCCTGCTACGCGCTCTGCGCCAGACCAGTCTTGCTGACGACCGCGCGTGGCACGGGCCTGCCAATTTCCGTCCGATACGCGCATCGTCCGAATCCAGACCTGGCTGTCAGGTGCTTCAGCTGGTACTGCAGCCGTTCCGACCGTTAATGGGCATCGCCATCCTGGTCGGTGGCGGCGACCAGTCGACCGAGGCCCCAGCGGCTCATTGACACTCGGTCGGCATGTCTCAATCGCTCGCAGCTTCATGGTGGCCTTTTAGCAGCGCGGTCCATCCGCCAACTCTCGTGGTACAGAAGAGCAGTGTCTCTTGTGTGGTCAGCCGTTTTGTGTCCGTACACACAGTATTGTTACATGTCGCATAGCTTCGCATAACCTGGACGAGGTATCTTCTATCTCGCGGCACACTTAAGCAAATGATCCGTGCTCAATTTTCTGCCTCTATGCTCCTGTCTTTATGGAGATGTGCAGCCGGCTCGGTAGGATGATGGCCGTAGCCAGAGACCCCCCCTTTTCCCCCGTTGCCGCGCATATCGGGATCCGCCAAATTCGCACTGGCCCAGGTCTAGTCGCGCGATACCGCCTGCTATGCGTCATTACCGTTCGATGAGCATCAGAAGCTCGGCATCGCCTCTTGTTGCCGTGGAAGCCCGATCATCATATTTGCCTCCGTTACGAGCGCGCCAGTTCAATGTTCCCTTCGCTTTCGATCTATGGTAGGCTGAGATCTCGGTATGCTGGGAATAGTTTATCCTCCTTTTCTAGAGCTTGGGTGGTGCATGCCTTGCATTGACGTTTGGCTCTTCTTCTTTCCGTGTGCGACCTGCTGTGATGCCCGCGCGATGCCTCACCGCCCTGAAACCCAGAGTCGGGACGTGAATTACTCTTCTCTGGGAACGTTTCCAATGCCGCACTGGAAGTGTAAACATTGCAGGGGCTTTGCTTATGCACACCGAATGGCATTGCAGAGTCGCATCGCATATTCTTGGGCGGCTCAATTTCGTGATAGATTTGCGTGTGTCGTAGCTTGCGCTGCCTATTCCCTGTAGATCTCGATATCTGATTGTTCCAGGTGCCTGGTAGGTTCTGAGAACGCCCGAGGGCTTCGAGTACATAATCGCGCGGAAGATAAGGATATCATTGGTCTGAGATCTCAAGTAGCCTCGATATGCTGGTTCAATGACGAGAGTCTGACTAAGTCAGCATTGACAAAAATTGAATCGTTTGATAAGAACAGGCGTCTACTACCATATACAAGGCACCCTCCCTTATCTATCTTTCGGTGATACGAACCCCGTTACCACAGGAGTAATCCAGAGACCAGACAGACAATTAGGGGGATCAATCTCAATCTACATTTATATCTCAGATTAGATGGATTATGGAAGCCGTAAACATCTGCCCAGCAACTACAATTTTTGATAGAACCCAAGGACCCTATTATTTATCGAGCCTTTCCTATGCGAGGCACAATTAACACCCAAACATCACTTCTGATAAGAACAAGTGTGGAGTTGCACTCGGCACACTGTTGCTAAGCTTGATACCCTCTATGATTTGCGTCGAATCACTGAAAGAAGCGATCTGATCTAGTGGTATAGCTTTAATAAAGTAAAATAGTCCTGGGAAAGGTTTATGTAAAATTTGTTAATCTCAAATTGTGTTGGTCTAAACCCAAGCAAAATGGAATCGGAAGTGAATTTAAACTGGTCTTTAGCCAAGGGATGCTGAACAAGAATATATGCCGTACTACTCTGGCTTCACGATCACAAAATCTCTCAGGTCAACCCCAGGTAAAATTTACGAAATTGTCACTTTGCATCCATCAGCGTCCCGCAAGAGTCAAGTAGGCTCTTGCCATCTTTGAATGTGTGCTAGAACAAAAGGTAGAATCGATCCCGAACGATGCGTTTGGTATGACAAAATGTCGATCAATTTTAGTATTTTTGAGCGTAATTAAATATCGGGATTACTCGACCACAACAGTTTGATAAGGAAAAAGGCTCCAAAATTCTGCTCAGACAGTTCCACGATTCCAAACAGGACATAAGAACATGGTATTTCAAGCCTCCTTGTCTGGACAAGCATGGCCTGCATTCACCACAAAACTAGGCTTGCACTCACCAGCTGATTACAGGGGAGAGCATGTCCCTTCGACTCTTTTCAAAGCTTTACAATCCTGCCTCTGGTCGCCATCACGGTAAATTCCGTAGCTCCGAAGTGAAATGGCTGGTGCGTTCAGTTATATTTTAGAGGCTCGCTCCGTACCATCCAAGCTAAGCCGAATCCCACTTCACTATTGCCGTAGAGGCTTATTCCTTTGACACAGCAATGGTAATGTAAATCTCAAGAGATAAAAGCTGCACTAATAATATTATTCTTAAATATTGTAGAGCCTCAAATTATACATGCGTCTTCCTGCCATCTCTCTACTACTAGACTTCTCTGGCGACTACGTCAACTTGAGACGAATGTTCCGGGCAGTTTTTCCAGGAAATGATTCCAAATCATTGAAGAGTTGCGACTCGCTCCTTTCTCAACGCTCTAGGGACCGGGGCTGAGGCTTAAATCTGGTGAAGGATACGGCCCAGTCCAAGCGCTGAGGACCCTCCATCCTACCACGCCACACCAGGTGCCGCAGGACACAGAACAACAAGTGTGCCGAATACGTCGATCGATTGTTTCACTGTGTAATTGAGATGCCCAAGTTATTTTCTCAGCGCACCTTGCAAATTCGGTCTACACAGTCGCATCTCATTTAGACACTACGGCTTGCTCGATACGGTCGAAATTTGGTGGCCATCGCTGATTTGATGGTGACTGGTTTGTATGGGTCGGGGTAGAGTGAGATGAAATATATCGCACGATCGACCCTTGAATGGAATGGATTAATTCGGTATATTTAACGTGACAGGGTGTACCCCTACATGATTAGCCGTGACACAGGTAGATGGTCCAAGCAGTCTTCTACTTCCCATATGACCGGCGGCAAAGTCAGTACAATCAAACGCAATTAAGTTCTCCACCGAACTTTGCAAGCTCTACACATGCTGAACGTCACACCGCAATTTTTACAATACAAATTTTGTGTTTGTGACGAACTTAGCGTGAAAATTTTCACAGTGTTCCACCTACCACGAACAGTAACTTCGCTTGTAGCCAGGATCTTTTAAATGAATTGACGTGTATGCGGCTCTACAACAATGCAACATGATCGCTGTCTTGCGTGCATGCCAAAATGATTCTTGACTTCTGAGACACTCACGCCCTCCGCTGGGCATCTGAGGTATCTTTGCCGCCTATTTTTGCCTCTCATTTCCTACACCTTGGCTGGAGGCTTTTGCTTATACCCTCCACGGTTGGACAAAGGGTCAGCATTCTGGTAGATAGCAGGGTCTGGTTTCTCGATCACAAACTCATTTTAATTGTTCACCCACGAAGCAGGAACGCTGTCGATAAATGACATGATCTCCATGGCCCCTTACAGCTGCACGGATACGATGATACGCCCATCATGTTAAAACCTGCTCTGGTCATCACTCACGGCGCATGCAAAGGTCTAGATCTTTGTATCTATTCTATTGATACTTCTGCTACCTAGTAACTACAGGCAAGAGACCGGGTACTTCAGTCGGCTTCCCGAATACTTTGAACGACAAAATGATCTTCTCCACTTTTCTTTGGTTCATTTTACATGCACATGTCATTACAATTACGAGACACGCTCAGTAATTTGTCTACGTATCAAATGACAACTTTGAAATTTGAGACATTTACGCTCTGTATTGCGTTCTGTGTTACGCTCGAAAATACGACTAGAAGGTATCTTCACTTTCATAGAACAGTCAACTCTCGTCCACGGGTACCCATGAAGTGGAAGTTTCAGCCCCTCTAAGTATCTAAGCTTGCCTTCGTCATCATGTACACGAGCAACGTTGAAAGTGTACATAACTTCGCAGTGGTACTTGCAAATGAAGTCCGAGGCATGAGTGCTCTTCTTGTAAATTGAGTCATCTTTTCTGTACTTTTCTTTGATATTGTGTCATAGCTAGATAGCTGCATACGCAATTAAAATCTGCTGCCAAAAAAAAAACGTTGAAAATGTAGTCGAGTCTTACTGCACTCGAACCGGCTATCTTCTTTACATAGGACAAGTCTCCAGCTTTTGCTCGAGATAGCTGCCTTGACTATTGACAACTGAACGGCCAACTATATCCGTCAACGACCTCCCGTACAGGTTTTCAGCTCTCACCATTGGATCTGTATATTCGAGATTGAGTCGTACCTCCTCAACTTTGGGCTGAGATTAATACCCTCTCCAGGAAGCGCGACTAACAATAACTACGAGGCACAGGACGATAGAAGTAATATTAGAAAAAACGACAGGCATTATGAGACGCTACAATGGTAGTTAAAATCCCTCATAACACTCCTACACAAGCGAGATATCAGTCTGCAAGAAAACGCCCCCTTATCCAAGGTAAAAAATCCTTTGGCCGTCGTAACGTTTACGATTTTATTGATAGATAAAATTATCCCTTCCGGTTGGATGGTGGAGTGGTACACTATCCGGGCCGTTCCCCACATAGATCCTGAGTGGCTTGAATACTTACCCCATTTGAGACAGGAGAAGGCTGGTTCGAATCCAGTAAGACTAACACACCACTTCTCTCGTGAAGAAATCGTATTTGTGCGTTAACGAAAGCAATCTCGGAAAGCTACAGGGTTTTCACGCTTTCCCTATAGTGGATATGCACGGACGAGGCTATACATCGTAAGGGTTATCCTCGAGTAGTATCTCCAAATAGAATCTGAGTGTTAACGCTACAAACGTCAAATTGGGTCACTCTACATAAAATATGTATCTTCTGGAAGAACCTGCTTTAGCAACGAGGCGCCAAATCAGGATATTTAAACAATTTTTTATTATAATATCGTCCATACAAGCTCCAACTTCCGAATAAACTTGCCAGAAAAGTCTCCAACTTAGATGAGTTCTCGGGTAATGCCACGTCCATTATGACTTTGGGTCGCTACGCTAGGCAACTGTATAGAAATTGCTCTCCTCTAAGACTTTTCCGGAATCCCGGGACCTTTCAAATTTCAGCTGCCTAAATCAGGGGGAAATTAACGGAGACTAGGAGTAGAGAGACATGCTTTCAAGTGTAGATAGTTCTGCTGTTCCTTAATAGCGTACCTTCGAATACATCATCATAGTAGCTTTATCTTTGGATTTAATCTTGATAATAGTTGTGTGGGACCCTCACACTCTGTGGGTTTCGAGATTTTGCAGACCTACGTGTAAAATAGGCCTAGATTCGTTGACTAGAGAGTGAGATTCTCAAGAGATAATCGTCATTTTGTGTTTGTATCAAACGAAAACTTGTGTGGGTGCGACCGCTGGACGGATCGTGTCGAGTACATAATGCAATCGATAGATGTCCCCGTTCTTTAAGCGTAGATGAGCCACATGTCTTGAAGTGCTCACAAGCTCAACAGGACAATAACCTTTTTGACCATATTTATTTGTTCATACCTTGATCCCATCCTTAGAGGAGTCGTGACGCGCACAATGTCCCTTATTACATCAAGATCCTTTCCAAAATTCGAAAATCCTCCATTTTTGAGACTATATTCGTCCACCGCATCATCGCGTCTATCGATCCTAAATACCTGCAGCTCAACCACAGGTGTATATCACCAGAATTGAGCGCAATTTCTCTCTATAATATGTATCCACAACATCTTTTTTTTTGCATCAAATTTTAATTGCGCATGCAGCTATCTAGCTATGACAAAATATCAAAGAAAAGTACAGAAAAGATGCCTCAATTAACAAGAGGAGCACTCATGCATCAGATTTCATTTGCAAGTACCACTGCGAAGTTATGACGGCTTTTTCTTCACCCCAAGTCAGCCCTCGTCCGTGAATATCCAGCCAGGGGAACGTCTCAAGTACCCTGAGTTATCCAGAGATGCCTCCTTCATCCACTAACCTTTCACCGCACGAAATATGGTCTGAGATGTCTCCTTCCCAGGTGGAGTAGAT